TGTCCAAAAATTGGCGAGAGCCTGATTCCACCACGCTGCTTCACAATTATATCATTATAACTATGGTAATTTATTGCATGGAAAAGCAAGACAAACAGACAAGAACAACAGAATGAAAAAAGCAGAGCCTAACAGTGACGTCCTCCAAACCCCGAAGGATCTGGGGAGGGAGACTGGTTGTTTTTCAAGTTCACGTATAAGTGTTGTTGATGCATTTTCTTGTGATAGTGATTGCAGGTCGTATTCTTAACTACAGGGGCACAATATTTATCTCTTTTAGGAGACAGGAAGAGATTTCCTTGTATTTATATGATGTAAATCTATGTTTTGAAGCGTGCTCTAGGAGCTATACAATTATTATTACTTCAGCAGACACAAGAATATTCAGAAACCTTTGCGGCTTTCCAAAAAAACATACCCATACTTCAGTACAAAAGTAGAGTGTTTTACCGGGTGTCCATTGCGGATAAGATCGGTCGGGTCGGATCAGTTCGGGATAATCGCCCGACTCCTCGCCTGAAAACAAATTTAATGTGTTTGCTTTTGGGGCGATGAGTCGGGCGCGATCAGCTTGTGCCACGGTAGCCACTTTGCGCTCTCAATTTGGCTAGCAAACCGACCCGACCCGACCCGACCGCACCCGATCCCCCAATGGACACCCCGTATATTTGGTTGCTTTTAAGGACAAGCGGGCTAACCCAGATTTCGGAGGTTTCCAGAAAACGTGACCTGCACCAAAAGTGGGCATTGCCCTACTCATAGGAGAAATTTGATTTCATTGGTGTGTATAATTGTTTGGTTATAGAGAAAACTCTCCTTGTATTTTAAAGAAACTGAACAAGGGGCAAAACATCGTTTTCGGGAATAGCCCCCTTGTGCTTAAAAGCGACCAATTGTCTTATCGTATCTTTTGGACTTACCTGCACACGGCCTCTCTGCTGAGCCCCGCCGGTACCACCGAAGTTCCCGCCAAAACCTCCACCTCCAGTTCCACGTCCAGACGAGCCAAAGATGTCACCACCCAGCGCGGGTTGGCGGTTCCCACGGAACACGTTGTCGGCAGAAAACCCGCCAAACGATCCGCTTCCTCTGGGGACAGGCACAAAGTGAGTTGTTGTTGTTGTAGTTGTTGTTGTTGTTGGTGGTGGTGGTCCTGGTGGTTTTATTGTTGTTGTTGTTATTGTTATTTTTGTTATTTTGTTGTTGTTGCTGCTGTTGGTGGTGGTCTTTCTATCTGTTGCTAACTTTCTCCCCATCTCTCTGTCTTTCTCTGTCTGTCTGTCTCTCCCCCACCCTCTCTCTCT